CGGGCGGCAAGGCACGCAAGGACGCAGAGACTCACCATGAAATTTCTTGTCCAGGATCATCTGTGACAGTTTCCTTTCTACCTCAGCCTGAAATTGAAGCAGAAAAATTAAAAGTCTGCCAGAAATATATAAAGAAATGCCAACTTTACTACTCCCCACTCAACGGCCCTGGCGGGATCTAAGCTCTGCTTAAAAGCAGCTATTTTATCACCGAGCACGACGTCAGGGCAGCGCTCTCCTCGCACGCTGCTCCGCCACTGCCGCGTGCTTGAGATGACGCAGGAAATCAAGCAGTAGATTTAACGACGAGAGCACCGCGACGCCTTGTCCCCGCTCCCCAGCAGACAGCGTACCTGTCACTGCACGCAGGCGCTGCTCGCTAGGGGACGGGGAGCACTCCAGCCTGGTTCAGCAAATACTGAGCCAAGCGCTGGCCAAGCTCTGTGCAGCCCCTCGGTGCTGAGCCCTGCCCAGCGCCAGGCGAGGCCCCGCAGGAGTCGGCCCCTCTCCTGCTCTTTGGGCAGAGGGCACGGAGCTGCAGCCAGGCAACAACTGCAGCCCAGCTTTTACTCAAACTATTCAGTGTGGGTCAAACACCAAAGGCTAGCCTAGGAAAAGGCTGTACAGATGGACACGCAGGACAGATGATGGAATGACCGTGAAGGTAGAGCTCAGGACAGTTCCAAAGCTCTGGCCTTCATGGCAGTATAGTCTCCTTCTCTGGAGATATTCAGACCCCACCTGGATGCGGTGCTGTGCAGCCTGCTCTGGGTGACCCTGCTTGGGTGGGGGTTGGGCTGGGTGACCCACAGAGGGCCCTGCCAACCCCTGCCATGCTGGGATTCTGTGACAGGACATAGCCACTACAGTGGATTCTCCTAAAACTGGCTGGGATGATCTTTAAAGCAGTTATTGCGATAGTCAATGTGACACATGCAACCCTAATGAAACTTCAGTCAAAGCAATTAGCTGGATTCTGCATCTTAACGGTCTGAGCAAGATTCCTCTGGGCACGCTCACGGGGATTAAATGCAGGTCAACGGGGAAGACGGAGCTGCTGGTGACATGAGCTGTTCTTACAGCAGGGGAAAATCTGTCTCCAACAAAAAGCCAGCGCTAACCCAGGGAGCGTGACCCAGGTGAAGGAAGGCGACGTTACAGCCAAGTCTCCGCGCAGAGGAAGCCAGTCCGACGGCTCCTGGAAACCGTCCGCGTCAAACGGAATTCCCAAGAGCGACATTTGCCTGTGAACGCGGTGGAGCTGACCTGTCAGGTTTAATTGCCCACATTTATTTCCCACTGGCAAATGCCATTTGACCTCAGTTCCTTGGCCCTCTTAAGACGTGCCACTGATTTCTAATGTTCTTACCTTTGAGAGCTTGATGAGGCTGGATATGTGTTCAATCTACAAGAGAGACCAGCAGAGTTAAGTAAATCCTTAGCTGTACTTCTGACGCACAACGCGAAGGCGTGGGGCTGTTCCAAAGGGCAGCTCCAGGGCCTGTAAACGCTCTGGCCTAAAAATCTCCAAGCGGCTTTCTCCACCTTGCAGCTTCACGTCGCTCACATTTCATATCCGATTCTAACTGAAGATGGACTAGACACCTCAAGCCATTTCACTCTCAAACATGAAATGACGTTTGCTCTCTAAGATTACCGCAGCTTTCCCACCGCCTGTCAGAGCCCTGAAAAGCCACACACTGTTACCTTCAGCGTTAAAAGCACGCCCACCTCTCAGCGTGCGTAAGCGAAGCAGGTGGAAAGGGCAAGGACTCTGGAACGTGGTTTTCCAAAGCTCCCTTCAGCCCCCTCCTTGGTTTTCAGCTGAACGTGACGAACCCCGAGCTCTGGAAGCGCGGAGCCGCTCTGAGTAAGCAGCGCTCTGTGTGGGAACCAGTCCCTCGCCCACCAGCAGCAGGGGCCAGAGGTACCAGCGCGCCGGGGTGCTTGCTGGCAACACCTACCTGTACTCTGGAGAAGGGTTCGATGACTCTGATCAGATTCTGTTCCAATAAGTTATCATAGAGCTTCGCCAAGTGAGTGTTTATGATGGGGTCGTCCCTGAGCTCCACCTTGTAGTCTGTCAGAGCCTGTGGGAACAAATAAATCAGGCAGCAACACGTCTCCTGCCCTCACAGCCCTCCGAGTATCGAACAGTCTTCCCTCCCTGCCCAGCAAAGCAGGAGCGGTTAATCCAATCCGGTAACGTAGCTGAAAGGCCCGGAGGTCAGGACTGCCTAGCAGCCTTTCAAGCACCTTTCATCTTTACGCTGCTGGAGCTCAGCAAGCCAGAATCTCTGGTTCACACTCAGCAGACAGCACGACAGGATTGTCTCCCGACATGGGAATCCACTCTGCCTCTGTGGTATTCTGACTGAAGCCAGGAAAAATTTCAGGGAGATACACACTGCAGTGAACAGCACCAAGAGCACAGGAAACTGCCCCAGAGTTCACTCTCCCAAAAAAGTGGAAAAAAACCTAGTTTCAAGCAAGCTATTACTCCCCATGCTGCGAAAACCAAACGGCTTCATTAGTGTGGGGTATTGGCTTGACGCACTGCTGCTTTCTATCAACGTTTTTCTCGTTTCCCGCTGTGGGATGTAACAGCTCCTACAACTTTCCAAACCCGGCATTTCTGAATGTTGTGTCCAGCCAGGTCCCGTTTCCCGTCTCCTGACTCACCTTCTCAAAATCTGCCAGCGACCGGTTCTTACTGGCCTGTGCCACACATTTTAGTGCTTCTGTCTGCGGAGAAAGAACACGACAGTAAGGTATCCTCACGGATTCTCCTCTCCGTGCTGCTACGCCAGCTGCGCCGTACGCTGACAACACGCTTCAGCAGCACAACGGGAAGGCTCCTTTTGCTCCAAAGCCGCGCCAGCGTCACCTCCACGCGGGCAGAGCCGGCGCGGCTGCTAACACGGAGGACGCGCGGAGCAGCTGCAGGACACGGCACCAAACCAGCTCCGCAGAAACAGAGCAATCGCGTTCTCCAAGCTGGAGAACATCAGCTGCAGCTCCTATCAGGTTGCAGGCCGGGAGCACGTCTGATCAAACTTGGAAGGACAGTGCACATTTCGGCACTTGCTTAACGATCGTGGCCATTTTCAGCCCTTAAAGCTGAGTTTCTCCCCTTCCGCATGCCACGCTCCTCCGCCACGCAACGGGAGCACAGCAGAAGTCCTGCGGATACCCCGTCACGGACAGCATCAGCAGAGGTTTCTTCTCTACCCCACAGCTGCTGAAACCAAGCAAAGACTCCGCCACAACCAAACTACCGCGTTTGCACCACAGAACAGTGCCACCAGCAGAAGGACAGCTTCCAAGCGGTGAGAGACACGAGACGAGCGGGACAGCCCGGCACCTGCGGTGCACGAGGCCCAGGTTCCTGCTACCAGCCCTCCCAGCGAGCTGTCCCCAGGGCTGCCCGCTTTCTGTCCCCTCCAGTTTCCACAGCAGCTGCAGAACCTGCGACCGCTGCCGTCCCAGGAGGACGGCACAGGAACAGCTGAGGTTTTCTCCATGGTAGGCTGCCCTCGTGCTCTGGAAAGGAGCCTCCAACCCAGCTGCCACTCGGGGAAGGGGATGAAGCAGGACCAGGGCTGCCCTTCGGGATCCAGCACGGATAACACAGGGATACCCGTGCTTCAGACTCCTTTCCACGCAGCTATGCCCGCTGACCTCCTCTAATGAGCTTCCCCAGCTCTCAGAGGCAGGCGAGTATTAGCTCCTGCGTCAGAGTAAATAGCCAGCTGACCAAAGCCACCGCGGGCATCAGTGTGTAAGCCCAGCTCAGACCCCGGCACGCTTGGCTTTTGGCCCTGTACTTGGTATATAAGCTTCCCTGGATTCCATACGGGGGTGGCATTCACAGGCTGGCAAGTTAACCTGTCAGAATAAACAGCTGACTTCACAGCTCCCCAGCTGCCTGGCTTCCACCTTACAGTCATCTAGGTCTCAAGCTGCTCAGCCACACTGCTGTGAATGGATTTCCAGGACTTGCCACACCACCAGTAAAAACAATGAAAAACTTGGATTTAAATACATCAGATCCATGGCTGCAGAGCCGCCGGCGAGTGTGGAGACACGAGCACCTTACGGCGTTGGGCAGTTAGAAGTTCACAAAGAAAGCAGGGAGGAGAAAAACAGAGAAAATGAAGCAAGCAGGCCAGCTTCTCAGCTTGTGAAAAATCACAGTACTCCCTCTGAAGGCAACTGACTTAGGGTCACTACTTACAATCATTTAATCGGTTCTGGGTCTCGTTCAGGACACTCAGGAGCGAAGTACATTTTGGCATGAAAAGACCAAAGCATTTGACAAACAGAATAACACAATATTCTCAGAGATAACAGGAGAACAGAAGGATGAAGTTTCCATACCTGTCTCCCTGCATACCGCAGAGCAAGCTTGCCGCTCACTAATGCCTGCACATCTTCTGGGCTAGAGAGGGGAGGGAAGAGAGCATTTATTCAGCAACTTGGTCAGCTTAATTCTGCGTGTCTCAAAAATTCCCAACTGATAGCAAATTACTACACTTCAAGTAACATTGGATCAGAAGCACTGATTAGCTCACAAACGAAGACAAACAGCAAGCTTCTCTGCTTGAGTTCTTTCCTTACAGTCTTACAAATGGAAAGCCTCTCGCATTTAAATGTAGGAAGCGTTCTTCGCAGAACCATTTGCCACGTACATGTTCAGCATGATTTTGCACAGCAACATGTATTTCAGCGCGGTGATGGCTTTTGGGTTGTCGATTGAATCGTATCCCTCAAACGCCTCGTAAAAATATGAATAGGCTGTTTTCCAGTCCTTCTCTTCTGCTGCGTGGATAATACCTGTTGAGAGAACACACAGGCAGGCATCAGAGTTAATTCTGAACGTGACCAGAAGAGGACAGAACAATTTGGTTGCCTGGTGCTTTATCTGGTACTTCAGTAAAGGGAATCCTTTCTTTCTGTGCCTCCCTTTCCCTTTATCTCTTATCAGAAGAACATCCATGCCCTCTCTTAAGAGGATGTGTTAAGAAAGACACGTTCGGGGCACATCAGGAAGTGCCTGCAAACGAGGCCAAGAGCAACGTTACAGTTACACTACAAGGTGTAACGCTGTAGGATGTAGGGAGGTTATGGACCCTCCACCACTGGAGGTTTTCAAAAACAGGCTGAAAAAACCTGTGTCGGGAAAAAAAGGTCATTGTAGCAGATCCTGCCTTGAGGCAGCTGGGCAGACTCGTGCGTATCTTCAGGTCCCACCTAGAGTCATTTTCCATGATTCACTCGGGGAAGAACAAGTATCAGTCAACTGATGCATCGTGACGAGTCCTCGATTCTCCCCATCTCCCGCAGGGCTTTACCTGACTGCATGTCCAACGCCGCCTGCAGCTTCGGTGGACAGTAGATCGCGTTGGCTGTAGTCCGTGCAGAGGTTAAGGCTGCTCTTGCTTTTGGCAGATTGCTCAGGGCGTGGTAAGTCTTACTTTCTAACAGCTGCACCTCCACCAGCAGTGCCTTGTCGTCCATCTTTTTCAGTTCCCGAAGAAGCTGGGAGCCTACCAGCGGGGAAGAACGAGAGCCTTTGTAACCTGCTCCGCACCTGCTATCAACAACTCCCCAAACCAAGTCTTCCCAGACGACACCCTTCTTCCCCCCCAGCAGTACTGGCTTTGAGGAAGGGAGGCTATGCTTACACAACCTGTTCTTCCAAGAAGAAACAAAGCAGAAGAAATAATAGTGGGTCAGCATCAGTCCACAGCTGGAGAAGAACGAATCAGTTCTGTGTTAGGGGTGGAAGGGGACAGTGAGAACACTTGGGGGTGTGGACAGCATTTCTCTGCCACCTCCCCAAGGGCAGCGGGCACTCAGCAGAAAGTCAAGGACGGGTTGTGCAGTTCAGGTTGTCACTCTGGTACCCCTTTCCCCAGACGACAGCGTGATTTACCACTCACATTCAGAGCTCCCAGCAAACCTGCAGCACTGCCCGTTCCTGCATCATTCCCCTAGGGTGAGACCTGAGGATTTTCAAGCAACTCCTAAGAATATGGGTCGAGGAAGGAATGTTTTAAGCACAAGACATCTACAGATCAAATTTAGGAGGTGGGAAAGGACAGCCTGAGAACTGCCTAAATAAACTGTCCCATTAAAGCCCTCTGAGGACAGAAAGAGCCAGCCTCAGAAGGAAACTTCATGCCTTCTGTCCTCCTGCTACGAACTAAAGAGCTAACTTCAGGCAAGCAGAGATAAGAACCTCATCTTCCTTGCTGTGCTTAGAAGCTGAAAATCACAACTGAAACAGCACAACTAGGTGGGAGAGATTAAACTCAGCAACATCCCGTGGAGACTCTGCTTGCACCTATTCCCCGCGGACACAACCACGTCGACGGCAGCCACGTCGAAATGCTAGCGCACAGCACTGGCACCTCGACAGAGCTTTCGGAGAGGCTGTCCTACAGGTACGTGCCTGCACAACTCCCTAAGCCGCACCACCATCATCCAGGTGACTAAGTTAATTAAGCACAGCTTTGGAGTGTGGACTCTGATCAGTTTAAACCCGAGTTCATTACACATCTGTATGCAAAGTAATTCTAACTTGATACCGAACTCCATGTATCAGAGCTCTTAGCATAACTTGATATTCTGATCCAAGTCACCCAGGTGACTCTGGACATGACACACGCTCTTGCCACCACACTGTTTAAGAAGTTACAGGTCCCTGGAGCGGCATCAGCACCTCCCAGGTGAGGCCTCCTGTCCGTGCCAGCGCAGTCAGCCCTCAGCCCCGCTCACACCCACGCGCGGAGCTGGCAGAGCAGTCGGTACAAACGCCCTTTAGCCAGCTTAAACCTCATCTTAGCTGACTGCAGTCACGTGCAAAATGAGCGTTTGTAAAGCACCGACGGGAGCTGGGACCTGCTTTGCTCTGCTTTGTAGCAGAGCAGGAGAGTTCACACGGTTCATTACCATATCTCAGGTGGTGCAGAAGCAGATTCTTAAAGCCTTTACACTGCTTCACAAGAACTGGTCTAATTACACCCTCAGAGGTTTGCCATTCCCTGGCATCACTACTGCTTTTACCGAGGCTGTGTCTGAGCAGACTGACCAAAGCTGGTCTCTCCCTTCAGCCTCCCTGACCCCTGCAGCACACCACAGCATGTTCCAGCAGGAGCCAAACCTGACGGCCTTCACCTGGCTACAGCTCCTCTCTGCATCCAATTTATTTGCAATGAACAAACGGTGAGAACGAAGAGATCTCTCAAAACTTTTATCACCGAGGTATAGCAAAAGGTGGCAGAACTGGTGCGGCCCTGAGAAATTAATGCCCAAGTCCTACAGAACTTCTGCAGGATCACGTGCCCCGTCAGCCTCCAGACTCCTTTCCAGCACAGAGCTGCTACCACCACCTAGTGGGAGACTCACCTAGCTGCAGCGCTTCCTGGTACCGCTTGGTATCGAAGTACAGCGAGACCAGCCTGGCCTGGAGAGGAGAAAAGGAACCGCTGTGAGGAAAGCCAGACAAAGGTAGTACAGATTCATTCTGTAAAATGGAACTTTATATTCTCAGCCGCACAGACCTGACTAAACTAGCTGGTGTTCACTACGTTACACGGTCCAGTTCTGCACGGTCCACCGTTTGGCAGACTGGCTGGTCTAAACACAACCGGTAAAACCCTGTCCATTCAACAGGAGTCGCTCACTTTCGTGTCATCGCTATCGCCTCCCATCACACAAACAAAGACCTGGACAACACACTGCAAGTTCCCTACTTCTACAGGCATTAAATCCGATAAAGGGAAGACGTTGTTGCACAGGTTTGGGACCCGCAATGTAACATACCTCCAGAGCCTGGCGTAGGAAAGTCCTCTTCTCTGATTTGGCCCATTCAATACACTCTAAACACAGATCAACCTTAAAGGGAGCAGAAAGAAATTTGTAAAGCCTCCTGCTGCCCCTCTTTAAAACAGCAGTATGGTTCAACCATTGCCTACAAAGCAACCAAAACACAACAAAGCCTGAGTCTTCACAGTGGAGGTCAAGGAAGTCGGTCATTCCCGTCTGAACAGAAGCATTGCTGAACATCGAATTAGCTTCCCTTTAAGATAAGCCTGGAGATCAGCCTTCACCCTTCGTGCCTACTAACGTCTCTGAACGACACCTTTAATATTAATTAACACCTCATCGATGAGAACTGCAGCCCGGCAGCGGGAGGTTAAGGCACTTCTCTCCCGCCGGACCCCGGTAACCACACACGGCACTCCTCAGCCTCAGCCCGCATCCTGCTGACGCCAGAGCTTAACCTCGCAGAAACCTTGCACAAAACGATACAGAACAGCTTTAGTTTGTGCTACATATTTTCATATTCTATTTACCAGACTAACTTCCTACACTCTGTCACAACGTTCACAGTATTACAGTAGCTATAACACTCCTTGCCAGAGAAAGTAACATTCAGAAGGCAAACTGGTTTAAGCTTTAGCCGCCATAAAAAAAAAAAAACACCCAACAGACCACCTTCTTTGATTGCTTTTCTAACGCATTTGGCTTCCAGTAACTTTTTCTGACCACCAGGGACAATCCTCCCTTACTGGAATATGAAAATGAAGATTTGGCTTCCAAAGTTCCACCAGTAAAAATTACTGCTGAAATCCTAAGAGCATTTCTCAAACAGCTGTGTTTTTGTTTGAAATAAAAACATCTGGGTACATAAGAACTGATTCTGCCTTAGGGCAAGGGATGGACTAAAAGACTTTAAGGTCCCTTCCAGTGTGTTTTGCATCATTTCATTTGGCCATAGAGAAAAATGTAGTCTTAATTGCTCTAGAAAGAAAGAAAAACCAAGTGCACGTGTTTTAGGGCCTAAATATGTCAGACCATGTGTGTCCTTTACAAGCAGAAAGGAACAGAGGTGCCAGGCTCTGCTATTTACACCGAGTTAGGTGCCAGCAGCCAGTCAGTGAGCGCCACTGGATGTCATCTATCGCTTCAAAGCGGAATAAAGGAACCCAATGGCTTCTCATATTTTTAAGACTGCTGAAATTCCCTTGCTCAATAAAGCAGTCATGTTCCACCCCAATTAGCAGAGGGTTTCGATTTAGTACTGCCCAATAATATACAGTACATCATCCTGCGGTGCTAGGCTCAGGAATCCCAGAATCCCAGCACGGCAGGGGTTGGCAGGGCCCTCTGTGGGTCACCCAGCCCAACCCCCTGCCCAAGCAGGGTCACCCAGAGCAGGCTGCACAGCACCGCGGCCAGGGGGGCTGGAATATCTCCAGAGAAGGAGACTCCACAGCCTCCCTGGGCAGCCTGGGCCAGGGCTCCGTCACCCTCAGAGGGAAGAAGTTCTTCCTCGGATTCAGCTGGAGCTTCCTCTGCTTCAGTTTGTGCCCGTTGCCCCTTGTCCTGTCGCTGGGCACCACTGAACAGGGTCTAGCCCTTGCCTCCTGACCCCCACCCTGCAGATATTTAGAGGCATTTCTAAGGTCCCCTCTCAGCCTTCTCTTCTCCAGGCTGAACAAGCCCAGCTCCCTCAGCCTCTCCTCGTAGGAGAGATGCTCCAGTCCCCTCCTCATCCTCGTAGCCCTCGCTGGACTCTCTCCATGAGATGATCAAATGCCTTTTCCCAAAATCTCCGGATCGCAGCTCTTTCTGGAGCAGCTCTGTAGCTGTACCACACTGCAGGACTTGTCAGCTCCTCATCACTGCTTATTAAATGGGGACATTTTATGATGAGCCATTATGAAGTCACAATTTATTGCACAGTGATAGCTGGAACATTAGGAGCTGGAGAAATCTCCGATTTCATTGCTTTACTGGACTCCTGGGAGTTTTCTTTACATACGTGACACCGAGGAAGCAAACGTTCCTCTGAACATTCCTGAGGTGCTGGAAGCACTCAGGATTACTCCATCAAGAACCTCATGGGTTAGGTGTTATAATTCCTCAAGGTTTGTTTTTGGCTTCTGAATATGTCTGAAAGCAAATGTTTTGGCCGTATTTCCATCGCTGTTACTCCAAGTTCTTCCCCTGCCATAAAACGCCACCTTTTGGGATCGCACCCAAATATTGTCATTTACACGGAGTTACCTTTAGAAAAACCTGAAGCCACTCCTCTTCTCCTGACCCCTTCAGGGGTTCCCTTCTCACCCGCACATCCCACCCCGCTTCCCTCCATCTCTTCTGTTAAAGAAGAGGGGCAAAAGATTCCGGCCGTCACCGTTTACGGTAACTTGACATGCAAGCCACAACTGAACAGCAAACGAAGAACATTTGCTGGGTTACCTGAACTAAAGGGTGATACCTCTGTGCTAATTTGGCTAACGAGAACGCCACCGGCCTCTCAACACAGCAGCAGCTCTTCTAGGCCGTGAAGGGTCCGTGGCTGTGTGCAGTGTTGTGTGGGCTCTGTCCTTCACCTGTTGCTCAGACCTTCCCTGCCTCCCTTGCCCTCCAGCTGCTCCGGTGTCCAGCACAACCCGTACCACTGCGGGTCAGCGCCGCTTGTCAGTGGCTGCTCATCATTTACAGGTTGCTCCTGTCTTTCATACCCATACCCAAATAACCAATAAGTCACCTGGACAACAACAAAAAAAAAAGAGAGAGAGAAAAAGAAGAAAACCATCTGCATTCTATGGAGCAAACCCCAACTGTGGGCTGCCTCAGCTGCATGGGTTTTCTGGTGGAGAAGTTCACCCACTGGAGGCAGTTTACACTTGGTAGCTGCAAGATTTTTTTCCACTCCCACTGCAGGAGTAACTTCCGTGCCTCAGAAGCCCTCCGTAGAGTCAGACGCCCACCGCACTGTGTCCCCATGCTGTGCACCTTCACGGCTCCCGGTGAAGGACGCTCAGCAACACTCACCACCTAACCCCCCCAAGCCCTGAACAGACCTTGAACGCTCCCTCCTCTCGCTCTGTGCCGTCACACGCTCACCCGCACCACAAAGCCCTGCTAATGCTGCGCACCTAACAGCGAGCAACACAGATCAAAGGAGAACGCCCAGGGTGAGAGTTACTCCTAACCCGCAGCAGGACGAGGCTTGCAGAAAAACATGGTTATGAGTAAATTACCTAATTTTTTATTAATAGAATATATCCAAATGCATTAAATGAATGTCTCCTGACATGAATAATTCTTCAGCGTGAAGCAAAGTAGGTCAGATAATGGCGTTCCAGGCTTTTGAGGAATGCACTAGCGCTGAAATTTCAATCTCACCTCCTGTCCTGTCGCTGCCTCCATATCAAGGAACAGATCGAGCAGAGATCGGACTAAGCGGGCTGCCTTGGCTTTGCTGATGGAGTTCAAGAAGGGTCGAACATACTTCAGAAGTCCTCCCAGCTCTGTATACAGAAAAACCAAACCATGAAATACAACCACACGGCCAAGAGTCGCACCGCGGCTGGAGTACCCGACACGCCTATACACTGCAGTATTTATTGCACCAAACATTTTATAAGCAGTCTCTCAACATCATTTACAGGAAAAGAGCGATAAACGTCACCTGAAGGAATGCCTTGCAGTAAACAGGGGGACTGGCAAAGGTGGCTGCTGGGCTCCAGTCTCACCCGCAGAGTGGGTTTCCCCTTACTTCGGTTTGCCCAGTTATAACACCATTTGTAACTACGCTTGCCTCAGGCACGCTTTAAAAATCTAAGCATCTGCTAAATGCTTTGAGATTTTTCTATAAAATGGGCAGGGTTTACAGTTTAAGCATGTTTTTATTAACTCACAGTTTGACATCTGCCATACCCAGCCACCCCCAGAAAGCCAGACACACCCTGCGCTTCACTGCTGAAAAAAAGGACATTTAACACTTCAACTACCCCCATTACCTAATTAGCTCTTACCTTACTTCACTAGATTTCTGTTTCTACTAGTCTCCTTACTGGTTTACAGCTGAAGCTAGTCTCAAGCTCACACAGAAAAGGTCTTTCTCTACGAGGAAATACACTACAAACACCATTCCTACAGAGCGCAGGGACGCGCCAGTCCATGTCAGCGCAGCCGGCGCTCGCGGGAGCAGCGGGGAGTTGCGTGCTGGCATCGCACCGCGCAAGCTGGCAGTCTTCTCCCGCGATACACGAAGCGCGGCCGTAGGGGCAGGGTGGGGGGGGGGGTGTGGGGAAC